GTCATTGCTTTAGATTTTGTTTTAGACCATACAAAGACTTATCTAACTTACAGACCTTGTTTTCTTGTCCGGATTACAAACCCTTTCGGTTGTTCCATATAGATTTCTTCTTCTAAGTCACCATTTAAAAACTCTATTTTAATATCCATTTGGTGTACTATTAAGTTCTAAATAGCATTTATTGAAATAAGCACCCTAATGGATGTAATTCTAGTGACTGAAAAAAGTGTCGAAGAAATCTATATTTTTCTCTTTGTCTAAAACCCTTGGCTACAAAGCGAGCCTTGTATTTATCAATAGTTCCATCAAGTTTTAGTTTCTTTTTCAAAAACCTATTTACAACCGATTCGTTTGCAACCAGGAGGCAAGTCTACTAAGTGTTAGGTTTTGTTAGCTTCCAGATATTCTATCTCATCATTAATAGTTTCTTGCCATAAATATGCATCCAGAGATGACAAGACTTCCTGAAGATTTATTGGATCTTCTTCTACATTATAAGTCGCATAATCAGGCTCATATTATTTAGCAACTCTTAATCTTTTACTTCATCAAAGTTTTGTTTCTAAATTGTCATTGCTTTTTGTGCTTCTTATCACAAGAATGTGACTCGATTGAGTGCCCCTACTATTTCTCGACTTGAAAGGAAATTTGTCTTTATAGAATTCAACATCATTTGATTATATGATCACTTTTGCATTTAGGTCATAAAACATATATGCCTTACTGTTTTTTGTATACCCAATGAATACACATTCATAGGCTTTATTAGCGAGTTTAACTCGTTTCGGATCCGGAATTCTGACATAAGTCAGACAGCCCCAAGTTCTCAAATAAGACAAGTTTGGTTGTCTTTTCTTTAATATCTCAAAGGAGAGATCTTACTTTTTGACTTGGAAACTCTATTTTGGACATAGCAAACAGTCAATAAAATTTCCCCCACTAGTAAGGTGCAACACCAGAATTCATCATAATTGCAACAACAAGTTCGGTAAGATTTATATTCTTTCTTTCTGCTTTACCATTCATTCCAGGAGAATATGGAGCAGTCGTCTCATGTATAATTCCATGTTTAATATAAAAATCATTAAATAATCCAGAATCGTATTCAGTTCCCCTATCACTACGAAGTCTCTTAATCTTGTTACTAAACTGAGTTTCAATTTCATTAACAAAGGTCTTCAACATAGTAATTTTACAAAAATATATTTTTTAGTGATTGTGTACAAATCTATCCCAATAGACTGACTAAACCTACCTTATTTAGAAGAAAACCAGAAACAAGATTTTTTATAATCTCTAAAGTATACATGACATCCTTCAAGATTAAAGTCTTTTCAGAGATGGACATTATTCCACTTCTCCAATATCAACAACATTAATGGTGTGGGCAACTCCCAACAACGCTTTCTTATTCGTGTGTGTTTTAAACATTGCACAATCATAATAGACATGACGAGAAGAGCCAATGTCCCTCTACCAACCATCAGATTCACCAATCATGTTTGATTTCAGTGATCAAAGCAATAAATTGCTCATCAATCAGGTTAACCTATGCATTAGGGGAAACACAAGGTTTAAACTTGATCTTTCATTTCTTAATCATATGACCTGATTTTCCAGTGTCATTTCTTTATGGTGGTGATTGTTGCCTATCAATTGGAGTAATTCGGGCCCTTGAAGGGTTCTCATTCTTAATTCGGTTCACAACATTGCAGTTCTGATTCTTTAATCATTTGCCAAATGGCTTCAGAACTACACTGAATTTCTTTTTGTTGTTTGAAACAACCAAGACTTTTCTTTTTGTTCTTGTCTTTGAGATTCTTCTTCAACTCGAAGGCTAATAATCAGACTCTCAATTAAAAATTCTTTTGTTCTGTGGTGAAGCAGAATTTTTAAAAACTTTCAAACTATGGACAATTTATTAATAATAAGAGCAATTTGGAATTGTTCATCTAAACACATACCTTTTGTGATGATCTTATAAGCAAACTTTTAAAGTTCATAACATTAAGCCTCCACACACCTTTGATTTATGCCATCTGATACTTTAGGTAGCGGCCAACGATATACTTCTTTATTCCAGCTTCCTCGGTGTCATACTTCTTTCACAGAGTCTCTCTAACGTGTTTGGCAGTATTGCAGATCATCTGCAAGTCCATTCAAAAAATATGATTTTATAGAGATAATCATTCTCTTTTCATAACACAATTTCTTTTCTGAGCTGAAAATCGTTCACTTTAATATGTGCAGCAAATTCAGCTTTACCACTATTAAGTGTTTCATTTGAATCCACGAATTTTTTACCGTTAATTTGCTCGATTGATCCATAAGAAGCAACAGGTATATCATCGATCAGAACGTTGGCAACCTTTTTTCATAAAAATTACAAATTTTGTTGCCAGCATTTGAAGTGACTTCCCTCAAACTTGAACGATTTGTTAGAGACAACCGTCGCAGAAGTACCAATAATTTCTTCGATAGCCATGGTAGTATGAAACGTCTTAAAATTGTTGTTTCACGATTTTAAAAATTAGTTGCAGAAGAAGTTATCGGGTCGAGTCGCGGAATAGGTCGCTCACTTTAAGACGTTTTACGGTACTGCCCAAAATTATGCAAAGCAGTTGAACTACCGCGCCGTCTCTAGGATAAAACAGTTCAGTTCTATATTGTACGCTTAGTACTTGTATGATAGATAATCGGTCTAACAATACACCCTCTGATGGTACAAAGACCATTCGAATATGGTATAATACCACTCATAGTATCTGGTATAACGACCAGTCATAATAATTTCTGAGAAAGAGAAATTCTAATAATTTTACAAAGAAAATTCAATAATTGTCATTTAACCACTAAAAATGATTTCTCAAACAAAGAGAAGTTCAAATAATTCTCTAAAGAGAATCCAAAAATCCAAAAATTAATACATGTAATTTTTCAACAAAAATAAAGAGAAATTAACATTATTCTCCTATGAAAATTCAAAAAAATACTCAAAAAAATCAACGAGTAAAAAGAAAGTGGAAGAAATTGACGCTTTGACAATTCAAAAGATGTAAAGTTACCAGAGTGAGAAAGAAAAAACTCAACAAATTTTTAATATATTTTAGAATGAAACAAGAAATTTCCTTAAATAATGAAGTGAAGAAGGAAATATATCTCATTTATGCAATGTAAAATTAAGGAATTGTTTTCAACTAACACAATATGGCCCTTGACGTAGCACTTGACTAGAAACTTTTTCAAATTCATAATGTTCCAACAGCTAAAAGGCGTGAATGTATTGACTGTAACACGTAACTTGCACCTAATCCATGATCATGACTAGACATAATTTAGAGCTCATTAAATATCCATATAACTATAGATGCCGACAGTGTGATAAAAATTTGCCCAGATTTTAATAACTTAATATTATTATCTAAAGTTGCGGTATTATATTTTAAATACTTTCATCACAAATATCTATATGATGAGTTATGAATAAACATGTATAAAAGTGTAAAATAATTTACTTGGTCAGTGTAGAAGAAACAAGTATAAACAAGAATTGGACAACACCTGCAAGCTTAACAAAAGTGTAGTTTGAAAAGTTTTGAAAAGAAAGATACTGAGCTGAAACTGTTGCTAACACAATTACTACAACAAACCTCACTGTATATAAATCTCATATAGTTGGGCTTGTTGCCCATTATTTGTTTTGAAAATCATAAACAAACACATGTTCATATAAAAATCACAAAATTTATGAACCAAGTCCTAAATCTTCACAGGTTTGACACATCAATTGAGATCCATGTGCATGTATTTCTGCAACATAAATAAATTACCAAAATTGTCAACAAAAACTCAATTTGCACTTTCAAAATATGTTAATACTGCTCAAATACCTTAAAGAGTCACAACATTATAGAAAGAATTCAGGAAGATTTCTAAATAGATGATACATAAGAAAATAATATGCATGCAAACGAAGCAATACAATATATACATACACATACAAATTTGTAGCACCGACTAGTGTGTTTAACACGGGTTAGAATCCAACAATAATACATGGAATTATATTCAACTAATTCATTTTCTCAAATTACTATCATTGTCTAATGTGTTAGGGTCGTGTCTGCATGTGTTTCATAGTCAACAAAAAACATTGTCTCAGTTTTCTCAATTTTACTTTACAAAGAATTACTAAAACACAGACTAAACAAAAAGATCCAAGGAATAAATTAGAGAATAGAAAAGAAATAGAAAATGCTTAAAACAAGAATGTTATATTTGTTTATTATTAACTGAAAGGAATACAAGAACTGAAATATCAGATTATCAAAATTCAAAACAGAAAAACAAGAATCATAGTATCCATGACAGAAAATGGAAGAATATCATCACTTTTGCAGATAGACTAAACAAATTATGCAGCAATTGAATCTTTTTGAGTCCAATGAATATGATTACTCAACTCAGTTCGCAACGGTGATTCTGGCTGAAGTGTAAAAATCAGACTCATTAAAAAATTCTAGAAGAATCATGCCCTCCGAGTGTTGCACTCTATTGGTAACCCCAAATATTTTGGCTTCACATTAATAGGAGTACACTTTTAATTAACACTAGAAAAATTTATGCCTGCTCAACAATACATTCTATCCAGACTCCATTAGGATTATGATCCACTATCATTTTCTAAAATCCCCCAATTTTGTTATTAATGGATGAAACTGAAACACGTGACCGTAAAAACCAAAATGGCCATCATACACAAAAAACAACATATGAGATGCTACCAAAGAATATCATAATGAACTGAGTAGTAAAGTAGTGAACACAACACCATCAAAACTCTTTGAAGACTAGTTAGCTAGTTAGCTACTATGTAACAGGGTAAGGACCTAAAACAATCAAAAGCAGGCAAGAGGTATGCATGTGTGTTGGTGAAGAGAGTTCAAATAATACAAATTACAAGTATAAATTTTGAAGTTAAAATAATACCTAACCTGAACTTATCTGTTAGAGCGTGACAGCGCTTCAAACAAACCACAGCAACTCAACCAGGATGTTTTTTGCACAATATGTGGAGCTGATGCTACCGGAGACTGCATGTCAATTCAGAAATGAAAATTCAGCAAAGTAAAACCTTTAAAATAAATGCCAACACAAAAGTTTAAAAACTGAAAGTGTAACATATATCACATACACTAGAAGTTTAGGGTGAATGTTAAAAAATTTAAGGTGTAACTTACTAATATGCTCCTTCTAATAAAGAAGAGAATTGTATTAGCAGTTAGGCGGCAAAAATATCCCAATTTTTTTTATAGTGTTGTAGCAAGCTACATTTAAGAGTAAAGTAACCAAAGAGACACAAAACCTGATTTTCAGAGCATTCTGCAGTGTTGGAATCTTTAACACGTTCTACACCATTAGTAGATTCCGTGATAGGACCTTGAGACACCGGTGATGATGATACTTTACCGTCGAATTCCCTTGTCTCAGATTCTTCTATAATTAATGTTTTAACATTCTCATCAGGTAAGATATGTACTTTATCCTCATTTCTCTTCACGGTGAGATCAGTTTCCACTCCTTGAGACACTGGTGATGATGATACTTTATCCTCGAATTCCCTTGTCTCATGTTCTCCCAAACTTGATGTTTTAACATTCTCATCAGGTAAGACATGTGCTTTATCCTCAATTCTCTTCACGGCAAGATCAGTTTCCGCTCCTTGAGACGCTGGTGATGATGATACTTTACCGTCAAATTCCCTTGGCTCAGGTTCTTCCAAACTTAATGTTTTAACATTCTCATCAGGTAAGACATGCACTTTGTCCTCATTTCTCTTCACGGCAAGATCAGTTTCCGCTCCTTGAGACGCTGGTGATGATGATACTTTACCGTCGAATTCCCTTGGCTCAGGTTCTTCCAAACTTAATGTTTTAACATTCTCATCAGGTAAGACACGCACTTTGTCCTCATTTCTCTTCACGGCAAGATCAGTTTCCGCTCCTTGAGAGCCCAATGATTTCTCAAGTAAATTATTTCCAGCATCTCCACTTTGCATCTCAGAGACAGAGTTGACACCATTAACCGAACCAGCAGAAGATTCAGCCGCTGAATTAACACTCCCCTTTACCAAACTAACAGGCTCCTTATCAAATGCAGCTGTCTCTTTTACTGAGTTATCATATGACTCATCCTTTGCATTCTTCCCAGTACCGGTTTCAATTACCTCATTAGAACCGCCCGAATTCCTACTCCCATTATTCAATCCCTCATCAGACTTAATTCGCACAACACTAACATCTTTGTTCTCACTACTCTCATCAGATTTCATATCCCATTCTATCACATCAACACTCTCCTTTCCTCCCTCACCTTCATCCACCTTACTATCCTTCTGAACTTCTTCCTCGGACTTAACACCAGCAGCCAATGGTTCAATTTCCTCCACCTCATCACTACCTTCATTGAACTGATTATGATCCTCATCATGATTCCTAGGAGAATCACCTTCTCCGCCATCACTTCCTTTCTCATCTATCGACTTCAATTCATTCTCCCCTAAAAATATCACCAAAAAATCAATCAATCACAACACAATTACCAATCAACCAACCAAATCAACATAACCTAACCACCCCAAACACAACCAATCAATCAAGAATCAAATCATATACATGCATACACAGTAAAAACATGCAAACAAACTACATAACCCTAAAAACCTCAATCAAATTAAAATCCAAAAAAAAAACTGAAAGAAACTACTTAAAAAAACAAAAGAAATAAAAAAATAAAAAATAAACAAAAATTGAGTATCTAGCTTTAAATCTAGCGAAAGAGACGAAAATTGAAAAAGAAGAAAGATATGCATGCGGGAAAAAGCAGTACCTTGAGGGTTGTTGGAGGAAGTAGAGGATTTTATCTCCTTCTTTTTCTTGGCGGCTTTTCTCTTCTTTGCACCTGAAGGCATGATTCAACTTTTTTGAATACAAACCACAAACACAAATGGTGCGGTGAGATGAATCTCTCTCTTACTTTTTAGAGTGAACAAGACAAAGATATAAACTTGCACAAAACAGGTAGAAGAAATGATAGAATGAGAAACAAAGAGGTATTCGGTTCGAAATTGGGTCACTCCAATTTCCCTTCTCTACTTTGTCCACACTAAAACAGTAACTAATTTGCTTAAGTCTAGCCGACTCAGTTAAGAGCTGTACAAAATAAATTATTATCACATTATTTAATATATTAATTTTAATTTTTAATTATATATATTTATTTAAAATTAGAATAAATTTTAAATTATGATTATTGATTCAAATAATATATAATATGTGTGATTCAAGATTCAAATTTCGGATTTGGAATCCATTAGTTTGTGTCGGGGATAATGGATGTGGAAAGAGAAATATAAAATGGACTAGATTATTTTTTTCTTTTCTTGAAAATTATTAATTATATATATGTGATTGATAGAGATCTTGGTGAAGAGGGAAATTGTAAGGTTTAGAATTTGCCAGCTAAAGGTTGTGTTATTATTCATGACACAAACTTGTGATGCCTTTTTGTCTTTATATCGTTCACACATGGGGACTGATATATTTTCATTTTTCTTATCATCAGTTCTTTTTTTTTATTACAGTAAATTATATTTATATCCTTTAAATTTTATCTGAACATCTCATTTGATTTGTAAATTCACACTAATCTTCTTTATTTTTGTGTTTAATAATTAAATTTTATTTGAACATCTCATTTTAAGAAAATTGATTTAACCATCTAGAAAGAGATGACCGCGTGTTTGTTGTTAATTTTGCATGTTCTTTTTAATTGTAAAAAATTTCTTTTGAACTTAACTCAATTAAGTTTATGTTGAAATGATTCCTTGAAACCACGCTCCTAGAGCAAATTGTTTAAAACATTTGTCTTATATGTTGAATTGTCTTTTGTTTTGATTGATTCAGAAAATTAAAATTGACTTGTATCAAAATGAAAACACCTAAATGGTGGCATTTAATCTGTTTGAATGATATATGAGAGCATAGTCTTTTAGAATCATTGAGTTGATAAAGCTCATAGATATTACTATATGTTAGAGATACTGCCAAGCTTCATTTTATCTCGTTGCTCTTAATTAATTAGTATAAACTAACATTGTTAGTTAATATTGTCCGTTAATATTGTTTTTATCGTGAAAAATGATACCTTAATATAAAGTATAAATGATTTTTTTATAATTAAAAAATACACAAGAGTTAATGTTAATGGAAAAAAAACAAAAAAAGAACAATAAAGATTTGATTATAATTGTTATTAGTTACTTTCTCTTTAAATCAAATTACAAGTACTCAAGAATAACAAATAACTCTTTCACCCTAATTAAAATTTGTCACACTTAAAATGAGAGACTAGTATGTTATTTATAATAAAACCTAACATACTAAACTAATGGAATTTTTAATAATTACTCATTACAAGTTAACTTATAGTATAAGCTAACTTAAACAATTGGATCATTAACACAAGCCTCAATTCGACAACTACATATTAAAACACATTTCGACTACAGCATATAGGTCTTCGACAACAGCATGTGAGTAGACTTCAACGGCATGCTAAACCTTTGTCGACAATACTAGAGTTTGATCAGATATCTCACTAATCTCCACCTTGGAACAAACTTTATAACATCGAGAAACAAACTAGTTTTCTTCATGCAACTTTATCAACTGCATACAGTGGAAAAACTTGCAATTGGGCAATGTCTTGGTAAACATATTAGCAACATTATGATCTGTCAAAACCTTCAGCACTTGGACTTCTACATGCTCGATTACCCTTCTGACGAAATGCATCCTCACATCAATGTGTTTGGTTCGCTCATGATAGGTTGAATTCTTCGATGGACGTATTGCACTTTGACTATCACATTTAACAGTGATACTTCGACCTTGAAGTTTCAGCTCATTTACAAAACCTTCAAGCCGCAACGCTTCTTTCACAGCTTCAGTGAGGGCGATATATTCCGCTTTAGTGGTTGATAAGGCAACAACTTTCTAAAGTTGTTCTTTTCAACTAATTGTTGTGCCAAACATAGTGAACACATATCCCAAAATAGATTTTCTAGAATCCATACAACTTGCATAATCATAGTTGACATATCCTTCGATGGTTGATTTACTATTGTTCCAGACTGACCCAATGGCTAGACATGCTCCAATCCACTTCTGCTTCTAAAACGGCTCAATTGCCTAAGTCCAATCACTTTGGGGAAAATTTTACCTTTTTGCCCCTCCAACAAGGGAGGATGACCAGTTTACCTCTGGTCACATCACTTCTCATCGTCAGTCTCTGCCCATCACGCACAGTGCCACCATCCAGAAACAGACAAGACGTGTGTGCCCGTAATTGCGTCCCTTCCCGTAGCAACGGCTAGTTATGAGCACTTCTGTCCGTTTCAACAGCTAGTTCTGGTAGTTACCTATTCTTCGAGAAACGGTTATCTCACCCCGAAAATAGGGACCAATGGCCAAGCGCTTGAAGGCATTATAAAAACCCTCTCACTTGAGAGGGTCAGGTATCCAATATTCACCCTGATATACTCATATTTTGTACTTGCACTCTCTCTTTCCTGTTTCTTACTTTAGCATCGGAGTGCCTTGCAGCCACACCCCCTCCTCCTCTTTCACACTCAGCATCACAAACGATTATCCTTGGCCCACCTCAGGTTCTGATCAACTAGTAAGATTAGTGGCGCGGACTGTGGGGAACTTGTTATCCCTATCTTTCCTCTTTTCATAGACACAAAAACAATTCTTCAAAATTCCGATCATGGCCAGCCGTGACAACACTCTTGATACTCGCAACTCTGCTTTCCTCCCCGTCAGCAAGACTGATGCTGACGGAGCTACCACCTCTCGTGGCGGCGACGTCCTCCGACAAAGGGACGGAGTCACAGCTTCTCCATCCCATATTCGCGATGATCACAACAAAGTCCCGTTCATCCCGTAGCACCTTCCAGTCCCAGTTTCGCCCAGCGCCGACCTGGTCATGGCTGCCCTCCTCGAGGTTCTCAACAAGATCAACCTCATAATTCTCAACCAGAACACGAGGATTGAAGCACTAGAAGAGTCCAATCATCCAAGATCCCCGCCAGCGAGGAAGGAGCGTCAGAGACCATGAAGCCCCCCTCCCCGGCGCGAAAGGAATCGTCAGATACCTCTGGAGTCAGAGACCTTGACCATCCGTAAGCATGACCACATATCTCCTCGGAACCAACATTCCCCATAATCCAAGAGGACCAGAAGAGGCCACCACGCAGAATCCCAACGTTCGCCTCCGCCCAGATCCACGGGCCGAGCACGAACCCCGTCTCCCCGACGAGACCGCCATCCTACGTACAGATGGGACGCTCACTCCCCGTCTTGGACCAGCAGCAGTAGTGGCGACGAGCCTCGCGACCCGTTGTCCCGGGAGATTATGATCATGCGCCTTCTGAAGGGACTGGAGAAACCCCCTTCTCTAGGGACATAGAACGGTACAACAGACCCGACAAGCACATAGAAAATATCGACCCGCTATCAAATGCAGGTTATTCTCGACCACACTCAGGAAAGGGGGCGATGACCTGGTACAAAGGACTCCCTGACGATTCCATCACCTCATGGAGAGAACTGGAGAGACGGTTCTCCAGACACTTCACGACCTCTCGCCACCACCCAAAGACCGAAGCCTCCCTTGAGGCCATCATTCAAGGGAGGGATGAACCTCTGTGAGCCTACATCGAAAGGTTCAATAAGGAAGTCATCCAGGTTTTTACAACCGATGACATGAAAAAGTTTCTGCTCGAGCGCGGGCTTCGTCCCCGCACCGAATTTGCTAAAGTCGTGGGCATCCGGCCCCCAACAACTCTGGACGCTTTCCTCCTCAAAGCACAAGCGTATATTCAGAACGAAGAGAAGGAGGTCGCGAGCTTTGCCCGTGATTCCAGGCACATGGAGAATGCCCGAACTTCCAGGTCAGACGAGCCCTCGACATCCCGCCGAGGAGATAAAAGATGATAAAACCATCCCCGAGAGCCTAGGAACAACAAGGGGTCCTCCGGCCGGTTCCATGAATACACCACTCTGGCAGTTTCAAGGGAGAAGATTCTTTTTGAATGCACCAACTCAGAATTCCGGCAGGCAGGAGTCTGGTTCCCAAAGCAAATATCGTCCAAATCCAACACTGACAAGTCGAAATATTGTCTATTCCACAAGAGTCGCGGCCATATGACCGACGATTGCATCCACCTAAAGGATGCCATAGAGGAAGAGGTACTTTCCTCCAAGGAAGAGGTCGAGGAAGAGGTACCTTCCTCCGAGGAAGTCAGCCTTCAGGTCGCAATGAGCATCTCGCGACTCGAAGATTTTTACATCCCCGAGGGGCCTAGCGCCCCTCCATATTTCACTGCGCACATCCCTTAGGAGATTTTCCCCTTCGCCATGGTCATTTCCAGAGGGGGCTTCAACAAAGTCACGGTAGGGTCCGCCAAAAGAAAATTTGAGCATCTTATCAGCAACAACTCAAACCGGAATTCCATCCTCGATAGGGTCTGGGGAGAGTCTGTCCTCATCTGCTTCTACCGCGAGGAGCTCCTCGGTGGAGTCCCCAACGCCTGCATTCCTCTGCTCGTGAGAGCCCAGATGACAAATTTTGACGTCTGACGAATCCTCGTCGACCAAGGCAGCTCAGTTGATATTATGTATTCCCAGCTGTTTTCCACCCTCCAGTTGGACGAATCACATCTAACACCTTACGTGGGCTCCGATCTACAGGGTTTTAATGGGTCAGTGACAAAACCCTGGGGTTACATGGAGCTGATCGTACTTTCGGTTCCGATGAAATGAGCAGGTCAATCAATGTCTAATTCCTGGTCATTGATTGCCCATCGCTATACCAGTGCATCTTCTTCCAGCCAACCTTGGCCAA